CTGATATGCTGACAAAAGTGATGACTGCGGTCAAGTTTCAACATTGTTTGGATTTGATCAACATTGTTGAACACTAAAAATTGAAGATGAAGACACAAACAAAATTTGTTATTGAGAGAAAATTGAAGATGTGGAATTTTGCCAAGGTGGAGATTTGTTAAAATTGTCAAAAGTCCTACATCGGTGGATGACAATTTTTGAATGGGAATTTCACCCTATAAAAGGAGGCCTAATGTTTAGGATTTAAATACACCTCTCATTTGCCTTTTTATCTTCTTAAGGCATTTGTATCTTCTATCTTTAGTATTATTTCACTTGTAATTTTGGAGTGGAATAAAATATTGATTGTATTCGAGGAAGTAGGCAAAATTGACCGAACCTCGTAAATTCTGGTGTTCTTTTATTGTTGTCTTATTGTCTTGTTTATTATTTAGTGGTTGTCATAATTTTGATATAGTAATTGTGATTCATTCACACTATATACATTTGGCTTCCGCAACAACACATAGCATATATAGAGACATGAGGTAGGATAGTCCCATTAGAGTCGACATCATAGGAAAATCCTTCCACGTTCAGTAACTCAGAAGGATCAAATAAAATTTCCTCATCACGATTCTCTTGCTCCTCTAGTTCTACCACCTCTATAGAAAATAATTGCCTCCTCTTTGCACATACATGTCCTAGAACATATTTTTCGTCATAATGGAAGCACAATCCCTTAGCCCTATTTTCATCTATCTCAGCAGGGCTCAAAATTCTTGAATTTGTATAAGATGGTTTAGTGGTTCCTAAATAAGAACTTTGCATTTTTTGGAAAGACGGATTTGGTTTAGAGTAATTTTGGTGTGGGTTCTGTGAGTAGGTGGGGTTGGTCTAGGGGTAGAAAGAACAGGAACATTTTTCAAGGTTTGTCTTTATATGAGTAAGGTCTGTTCTTGAATTCTAGCTGGGTAATGGCTTTCTATAGGGATCTAGGTGCAAACATCATGATTGGTAAGCCAATCTCAGGTTTAAGACCTCTCAGAAAACAACTAGCAACATATTCCTCATTCAATTCCACTCTAGTTAATAATTGATCAAACAAATTCACATAGTCTTGTATAGGAGTTACCTGCTTAAGATCCTTCAAATCGCTCATTGGATCGTCGAATAGTTCTGACCCAAATCTCGCATACAAACATCTCACATAGTCTCCCCAACTAGGTCAGCCCCTTATTTAGGAGTTTCGTCTACCTCGAAAAACTGTCTGCACTGATACAACCAATCGCGAAGCCCGATTCCATCAAACTTGGGAAATTCAAATTGATGGCTCTTAGTAGGAAACTCATATTCCACCTTTTGATGAGCCCTAGATTCTGTAGTTGTTACACCTTCCTCTACATGTCGTGGATTACCCCCACCCGTCAGAAGAATCTTCTTGAGTTCCTCCATCGAATGTGCAAGTCTTTCATCCATAGTTCTTAGCAGTTCTTCCATTGTTCCAGCAATTCCTTCGAATGAACCTCGAAGGCCATCCAAATCTCGGTGAAGTTCCTGAATTCTGGTATTGTGCTCCCCCACTTTTAACTTCGCATGCCCAAGGAAAGATCGGCTCTGATACCAATAATACACGCTAACATAATTAAGAAAGAATTAAGTGTCCTAAAGAGCAAAATTAGGAGAATTTCCCTTGAACAGATCCTTAGCTGGGTTGAGTCTGAGAATTTATAGAGAAGAGAGAGAGTTTTATTGAAATCAATCACAATTCAATAGTGTATTACCGTAGCTTCATTCTTCAGCTTATATGGGAACGAAGGGAAAGAGAGTTAGCTATAATTAACTTTCGGATGGTTCCAGCTCCGTAACTGCCTCACTGCACACGTGCGCCTCATAGTGACTCCTACGTATTTCACAGTTGAATCTGGAAAGTGATACAAATGTGAAAATCAAGATAATGTGGATCGTAACATTTGTCAACTCTGAAACCTAAATCCCAAACACCCAAACTAATACCAGTGTCTAAAGAGCAACGATTATAGAATATACTACTCTGTTTCATTGCATTGAATAGTAGCTGAATGAAACGAATTACACTAAGAAACCTAAAATACAGAGGTTGAAGGGGAAACTCTAGATCGATCTTGATTGTCGGCGTGAAAGAAAAAACTATGTGACAGAACTCGATTTTATGAGTATAGTATCTATGAGTAAGTATGTATTGTGTAATATATGATACATTTTTTATCTATATTGGGTTTCTTTTTTAGAAAAAAAATTTTAAACTATTTTTTCCTATTAAAAAAGCGAACAACTTGAATCACAAGAGGAAATTAAAGGATTGTTATACTCTCCACGTGGCCCTAGAGTCTTTTCGTTCCAATACTCAAACGAAAGGTATTTTTACCCAATATTCCATAGTAGAGGGGTACATTTAAACCTATTCTGTTTTTTATTTCTAATAATCAAGAAATCTTCATGAGTAGTGCTAAGTTTGAAACGAGCAGATACTTGACTCGTCCCTCTACAATTAAAAGCTCTTGTCTGCAATAAAGTTCCTGGTCGTGGGTTGCTCTAGTGGTGAGCACCCTCCACTTCCAACCAATAGGTTGTGAGTTTGAGTCATCCCGAGAGCAAGGTGGGAAACTCTTGGACGGAAGGAATAAAAAATAATAATAATAATAAAAATAATAAAAATTCCAGGCCGTGATGTACATCATACACTATGCTATTACCACTAGACCAAAACCTTGAAGTGAGCCAAACGTAGCTTTTTCAATCAACACTATAGTATTTATGGTCTAATGCCTGCTTCATTTACTCAAATTTTCAACCTTTAATAGAAACAAAAGAGCTATGAGCAAAATCTTTAAGCTTAAGCTGCATCCAAACCGAACCATATCCACTCAGTTAATTGCATGATTAAGGAGACGGAATTTTCAATTTCAATATCGTTGCACATTTCCAGAATAGTCAGGCTAACCAAGCTTTGACACTCAGCTGACAGCTCTCAACACAAACCATACTAGTTTCAGAGATACAAAATGCATTTCTTATGCCTAATGAGTTTGTATTATGAAGAATGTAGATACAACAATAGCAAAATACAACAAGAGGAACACATAAATCCAAACGCCATCTCTGGGAGTGGAAAATGTAGTATGGTCTTAACACCAAGTTAAAGTTCATCCTGCAACAACAGCAGAAGAGCAACTAATGTCACTGAAAGTGCAAGGTATAACATGCCCAACAAAACAAGAAATTCATCTACCAAGCACTAATTCATTCACCAGATTAATTTCAACCTTTCGAGTAGGGCTTTTCAAACATTGTTGATCATTACGCTTCATCGTTCCATCTTTTCTAGTATTAAACAATTTACTTGCCTTGTTATAATTTGTCTCAGTAACCTCTGTTTCATGTTGTACTATATAAAATTACAAATTATACTGGATATGACTGTGAATTTCACTAATGTGTGTTAACTGCGTTAATTACTGTAACCTCTACTTACACCATATTGAAACTATGTGCATTGCAGGAAAAATCTATTAACTACAACATATTTGAGATATTGGAAGAAAAATACAACTTGGGTTTTCCTATAATGGATGAAATAGTTGTAAGTATGCCTTTCTTAGATTATTCATCACGGAAATTAAAAATATTATGCAAAATGAAGCATTTAAGAGAATGTTTTTGACAATGTATGGTTCCAACAACCAGTTAAAGTTTTGTCCTGCAAGAAATTTTGTTTGCAACAGCAATGTGCAATTTGCAGCTCTGACATAACAAACCAAGGATATATCTATCCATTTGAAAGCATCAACATTTCAAACTTAAGCCCAAAACAGAGTGATTATTTTCTTCACAGTTAATTACTTGAACTCCATAAAAATTTCAAAGAATCAATCTTTTTTAATGAATTAACTAAAATATTTTCTTCATAGGCTGTGACGTGGACATTATTTGGGCCAATAAACAATAAGTATAACATGATAGTCTGGTTATCTTGGATTAGGGGAGGCAGGGGTGGGATAGGAAGAGAAGATATCTGAGCTTACATGATAGTCATCCATATAATCGTGGTGATAGCGCTGCAGAAAAGTATAACATCAAAAATTAGAAATTATAATTTCAAAACAAATGTACAGTAAAACAAAGAGACATGGATGTCAAAACAATTATTGACAGTGGCACCTATTTAAGAACTTATCAAACAAACTGTATTGGTTTTTGGTTTTTTCCCTACAAAAACAACTGACTTAACCAAAGGCCAGAAGCTTCAAGTATTTCTGGTGGAATTAATTTGCAAAATTAGGCTTCAGAAACACGAGGAAGTAAAGATCCAATTTAGTATAGAAAGCGATAGACAAACAAATTCTGAAGTTTCGATCGTTGAAAGAAAATCAGCATGCAGAAATAAGTTGTCATGGAATTGCAGCTTTTAACTGAACTTTTTCATTAAAATCTTTAACAGGGAAGGCTTAAGGAACAAAAGGAGAGATGAACAAGGCAAATGAAAAGCAAAATATTGCAAGGAAACTGACTGGTAAAAGCATATCTAAAAATCGGAATATACAGACACTAACCCTCTTGTATCTGTCCCGTTGTCGGTCCCGACCCCTTTCTCGTCTCCTCCTTTCACCTTCCTCTCTTGCTCTTTGAGCTTCCTGAGAATTTCCAACCATTTTAGAACTCATGCTTCAGCAAAAGAAGGTTACGCACAATGTTACTGATAAGCAAGAACCATTACCTCTTCTTCTCTTGCTTTTCTCACTTTCTCTGCCTCTTCAAAAGCCTCCTTTTCAGCCTGAAGGAATGGTTTAAGAAATTCTTAAGCACTAGAAGAGAAATCAAGCTGCAAATTGCCAGTAAAAGATGGAGAATCAAGTACAGACCTCCCTATTGGCAAACACTTCCTGAATCACTTGTTTTGCATAATCTGGCTCATCACACACCAAAATGTTATCAAAAACAGAACCTGCCTTTACCTGCATTCCGACATATTATATTCCACTTGTTACAATATAAATTAAAAAAATGCAGAGTTAGCTGTTAGAGAAGATGACATTGCCCAAGTAAAGATGGTCTATATTACCTGCCAAACTTCGATACCAACATATTTGATCGGCTTCAGTACGTAGAGATCAGGGTCATCTTCAAATTCTGGAAACAAAGAGAAACATCAGAGTTTATTTTCCAATAATCTCCTAAAACTTCATGGCAGTGTCACACGCATCAAAATTCAATTTGATATGATTGCAAACATTGATTACCTGGATTATCAATCCAAGGAATCTTCCATTTTCCTTTATAGTTGGGATTCTTAATTTTCTGCATCATAAAAATAAAGTCGGTAGATACTCCAAGTCATGCTTAATAACCAACCATTCAAAAGGATTTTCACATACCTTCCTTTTCCATGGACCACGGTATGCTGGATTAGGTACTTTGGGTGGCTTCCACATACCATCCTCTTCATCATCCCAGTTATTTGGCTGATCAAAAGAAAAGCAAATTTTTGATATATAGGTTAATCAACTTAGAAGATGTAGTCTCGTCACTTTATATCATGCATCTTATATGACAAATTTCTTACGCTTTGATAATATATCAACCAGAAAACTATCTGTCCAGTGTCCTCTCTCCGTCTGTCACTACAAAGAAGCTTTAGCCTCTTCTATAGGGATGCGATCTAGATGGAAAGAATCCAACTAAAACAGAGATGACAAGAAAGAAAATCTTGTGGTATCGGACTGAATAAGACTTCATTGTCTGATTGAATCTTGCTTTTTCCTACCTCAAGTGCTAACCAAAAAATATTGGTAGTGCAATGCAGGTGGGGCAAAGATGAAAAGGACATAATGGAGAGAGAGAGAGAGAGACAGAGGCCTTCACTACAACAACTAGCATGCCTCATTCAAACTAGTAGGGTCAACTATATTTTACAATTTTTGCAGATTGGAACCAATAATACAAAAAATTTAATAGGATGGAAGCTCACATAGGCACAGTTATATATATGAGAGAAACAGAGAGAGAGATTGCAAAAACATATAGAAACTTATAAAACTAAATGGAAAAGCCGTTCTAGAATGACCATATCTCAGAAAAGGAGTACATAAAACCTCATCAACAATGCAGGTGAAATGAACACGGTTTCATTTAATTATGTTCCAGTTGAAACCTAACCTTTTTAGCTTTCCGGTCTGGAATCTCTCTCGGAATAGAATCATATCCCTGGAGTAAAAAGATCCAAGAAAGTCTGCAATCAAGGCAAATAGCTAAAAACTACAGAAATCTAACCACGTACAATATAAATTACCTCAGGTTTGATGTCATCTGGATCTTCAATATATTCTCTGTCTTCCCAGTCTGCAGGCTATAAAGCAAGGAAATAAGTGAGGGGGCAAACACCAGAGAAGTACCAAAAACTTCGTAAAGTAGCAAAGGGACAGAAGGCAGTTTAAAAAACAATAGTTGTCCAATCTCTCAACTTGAAAGAGATAAAGGGAATATCAGCTTATAATGAGAATCTCTTTCTCAGCCAAATTTATGACCAGTGTGCAAACGTAATAAATAAAGTTAGGCCTTGGCAGGTATTCCTAAGTTTTGCAAAACCGCCTAACCTCAAGTTGGTATACCTTTTTTGCATTTACATCCTTGATTTTGCGGGGAGGAAGTATGTCCCAGTCTGTGTACATACTTCCAGAATCTCTTTCTCGACCATCAATCCAGATGCTGTAGGATGCATCAGGTCTAAGAATGAACGTGTAGAAATGTGTTAATTTGTCTGTTTCACATTCTAATTCCTTCTTGATGGGGTAATTCTGGCCTTGGTAGGAAAGTATAACATGAAGTTTCTTCGTCTGTGTACCACAGATATCTGGCCCAAACATAAAACTGCAGCAACAAGAAAGATTAGCAAACATATTTTAGAAAGGATGCTTCCAGGTCAGAAAGTACGATGACACAAATAATAAACTGGGGGATATGCAAAATAGAGGAGCAGCTCTTCCCTTCCACATATAAGGAATTGCATTCTTTACTTCGCACTACTTTTCGTCTATCGGAAACAGCCTCTCTACCTCTCTAAGGTAAGGGTAAGGTCTGTGTACATATTACCCTCCCAGACTCCACTTATGGGATTCCAGTGGGTATGTTGTCATTGTTACTTCGCACTGCTTTTCGACTCTGATTCTTTTACTGGATTATCAGCAACTCTTAGAACTAAGATATTCAGTGTACAAATTCCACTCATGAATTTGATGAAAATGCATGTTTAACCAACTGGCGATCCTTAACTAATCAGGGTCATAGGTAAGACACACAGAAAAAGAGAGTGGTTGTGCTGCTAAGGGATATCGGATCAGGGAGATCGCTGGCGTGTTTCAAAATTACATGTAAATTTCGCACTAAGAATTCCTGCATAATTCCCATATTTCAAAATTTGAAAAGAGGTAGTGCCCAGTCAAAAAAATCCTTCACAGGAAAGGGGGAAAAGATGCTGCTAAAACCAATGCTTATGCAGATCACAAAATATCCAGATTATGGTATGTCTTAAATGGAGAAAGAGGAAGTTCACATTCTGAACATAACAAGAAATGACCTGTATGGGGTGTCTCCCCCAAATTTCTTCTGATTGACATATCCAGAGAGAAGCTTTATATAACCCCCTCCACATTCAATATCTTGCTCAAACTTTATAGAATACTGTACAACCAGTGTTCTGTTTTTATTGCTAAATTCCGGTATCTTTGCAGAGACCGCGAAATGTTTGGCATCGTTTGTTGTCTGGATACCTGCAAAAATCAGTATCATCTTAAATCTGCCACTGAATTCTTCATCAGCCAAACAAAAGCACAAGGACTTGTGGTTGAGTATGAGAGATTTACAAAGTAAGGAGACTACTTCATTGTTTTCACTATATCAAGTAACGAGACATCAAACAAATTATTACTTCATCAAATAGGAATTAGCTATCTGGATCTGAAGAGCTTGAAACTGCAAACAAAAATAATCATGAAGATTCCTTGAAAAAGATATAATACCTGTCTCAAACAACATATATATGTAGTCCAAGACTTCAAATTTTTATTTGATTGATCAACTTCGATGGTCCCCTTATTGGTTTAATCAATTACTAGAAATCATTTAACATTGTAAATCTGTTGTGCTTTAAAGAGTTAGAATAGGAAACAGTAAAACAGGTGGATTGCTCCTACAAATCAAATTATGATAGCAACACACTATCAGGAGATTTCACCATTAGCATATCTAGACACTAAACCGTCAACTTTCATAAACTTAATAAAGAAAAATACCATCCTAAGAAGATACCATTTACAGTTAGACCAATGAATGGAATGAATGGCTAGTATTTCACGTTCCTATGCAACAAATTTATAGTATGGCGTATAAGTGAAATGGTTTTGCAGCAAAGCAGAGATGATGAAGCAGCAGAAAGTTTTTTAAAAAAAAAATATTCAAAGCTACGAATCCGATGATACAATTGATTAGCCGGATTAAGTGCTTCGGTAATGATACCATTTTGACAAGCTGGACAAGCATAAAATGCCACCTGTCCATATCAGGTGATTTAAAGGTAGGAAAGCCCGATGATAAAAGCTCTACTTCCTCTCGCAAGTGCATCTCATCTCATGATAAGTCAATCTAGTGTTCACAGTATTTCCTTGCCTCTGATTGCAATTTGTGTTAAAGTTGAACATCGAGATAAGCTACCGAATGCACCTCACTTTGGAGAGAAAATAAAAATAGAAAAAGTGACCAAATGCCCTTCGACATTCTTACTCAAATGCATTCAGGAATTGACTCTAAAGTTCGAAAGCAGGAAAACCTTTGATGAGAACCATCTAACAGACACTCCAAAGCTTGAGAATGTACCCCTTTCATTTTACTACTTTAAGTTGTTGACACTTGTGATCTTATACTGCAAGTCAGCGGCATATACTTTATGTTCCCACATGAAAAGTATGATAACATATTAGCAACAAATCATCAAGTACCAATAAACCTAGCATATTGCAGTTCCATTTGAAAGCATAAATATCGCAATCACTGTATATAGAGTAATATAACTCTACCCAAATTTCTATTGGATATTTTGATAAAACAACCCATTATGCATACAGATGGAGACTTCCAAAAGTCAAACCTTTGTCATCAGGATCACCAGCCCATGTGCCGGCCGTGTGCTTAAATGAACCTGATTTTCCTTCACTGATTTTCCAGTCTGACTTCACCCATTTGCTCCTCCATCCATCTTTTCCACATCCAATATAAAAAAAAAAAATAAGAACAATAATAATCAGAATTGAAAGGATCACTTGGGTCTCTTCCTCTTACAATCCATCATAAAGACCAACTTCAAATACTTACACATTTAAGCAGTTCAATTACAAAGTGACTTGCTAATTATCTAAACAAATCCCATTCCGCAAACCCAGAATCAACCTATTTTTCAAAGATACTGTCTAGCTCAACTGAAGATACAACCCATGTACGTATTTAGTAGCCAAGCATATTTAAGTACAGAAATTAAGTTCATCCAATAAACCTTTGGGGTCAACTCATAAGAAAATGGAAGAAAGCACAAAAAGAAAAGCTCAGCAATAGATTCTATTCTTCCAAGTAAAACACGACCACAAGCTCACCCAAACCGAAAGTGACTTAAAAATAAATTCTTTTCATACAATTCAAATAATATAGAATTCAAAGCTAAAAAAACTGGAAGCAAGAAATGCTATTAAACTCAGAATAAATAAATAAATAAATATAACGAATTTACCATCAAAGCTTTCTTCAAAGAAGATTTCAGATACTGAAGAAGTGACAAGTGTAAAGAAGAGCAAAACTAGTAGAAAAGTTTCCAATGAGAATAGGAGTCTACTTGGTTTATGCTCGGAGAGAGCCATCTGCTCTTTTTATGAAAATTTTGGGGTCGTTTGGCTACTTATAGAAAGTTGCTTTGCATTTTGGATCTTGACTTTTATATATTTACGGTAATATCCAGGTCGTTAGTCTTTTTTGATTTTTATATAGAATTTATTTTATTTTAATTTTTTAGTAGAATTTATATTCTTTTTCATTTTTTCTTTTTAGACTCCAATAAAAAATGGATTTGCACGTTGCTTCGTCCAATACAATTGCTTCTGGTGCCACCTTTTTGGTTCATAGTCCTACTTTGATAGTGGGAACTCCATTTGTTAAGAAAGTTCCAATCTTTTGAATCATTTGTATGAATTTTATGTAATACTCACTTTTTTACAATGATTGTCTCGGATATTAATTGTCTCAGGTTAACTTGCGCGCAGGGAGGCAGAATTTGAGCTTCAGGTTAGATCGAACGTAATAGCTTATACTCAACCAACATATTTATATTAAGAAATTCATTAAATATGTATAAATATTAAATTCAAAACTTAGGGATGACAATTTGGGTGGGACAAGACAGGACGGGGCAGGGTAATCTCTTAATAGTACGGGGCAGGGGATCATTTAAATAGGGCAGGACGGGCAAAATTTAATCTTTGAAAAATTTTAATAGGATAGGGCAGGGCAAGATTCAGGTTAGGAGTCAGATCGGGTTAAAAAAGGATGAACCCCGCATTTTAATGGTTACTCAGCACTCGAATCCGACATTTTTTGAAGGCCTAGCAACCTTCTCCGAAGAAACCCTTCTTCTCTACGGATTTATCGCAAGCATCTCTCCTCTTCAACAAATCTGCAACTCCATTCTCAACAAGAACTAATTAGTAGAGTTCTTTCCTTTGTTTAAATATTGCTGGAAAATATTGCATACATGCAATATGCGGGTTAATTTCGATGATGGTCATTGAACTATCTTTCAATTTCACTAAAGTCATTCAACTATTTTTTGTCACTTAAAAGTAACTAAAATTTATCATTGTCACTTAAAAATCATTTTGCCTCAAACTCCTACCATAAATATAACATGACATAAAATTTAATAAGAAAAATCCAAAAATAAATGCCACATAAGCTTAAATGGGTCATACCCACTTTAGATTTATGTCTCCCTTAATATGATTTGATCCAAAACCCAAATGGGTTTAATAAAAAAAATTATTAAACTCCACATTAGTTTAAAATGATTATCATATACTACAAAGTTTTTGCCTTTCTTGTTACATAATGCACATTCATAATTATTCTATAGTAAAATAATCTATGCTAGAAAATTCTTATTTTGTTTGTACTAAAATAATTATTCTATACTAAAATAATCTATGCCACATAATTATTTTGTTTCTAGCATAGATTATTTTAATCTAGAATAATTATGAAAGTGCATTATGCAAAAACTTTATAGTATAGAATAATTATTTTAAACTAATGTGGAATTTAATATTTTTTTTATTAAACCCATTTGGGTTTTGGGTCAAATTATATTAAGGGAGACATGGATCTAAAGTGAATATGACCCATTTAAGCTTATGTGACATTTATTTTTGGATTTATTTTTATTAAATTTTATGTCATGTCATATTTATGGTAGGGGTTTGAGGCAAAATGATTTTTAAGTAATAATAATAAAGTTTAATTACTTTTAGATAATAATTAATGAAATTGGAAGATAGTTCAATGACCATCATCGAAATTAACCCTGCAACATGCAGAATAATAAGAATTAAGTCAAGACGTTCTTCTTTTCTAGTTCTATTCAATATCATATATACATAATCCTTAATTACTAATGACTAGAACAAAAATACATTTACCTGTTGAACGTACAAGAATATTTGATTCTCTCTTTTGTACGTTGATGTGACCCTTCACAAACTGAAATTCTTAAGTGGCTTAAATAGTTAGCCATTTAATTACGTGCTATATCCGGAGTCGGAACAAGCTCTTCTTTAGCAACCTGACTTTGTTAGCTTCTTGTTAGCGGTACTAGTTTGTAGTCTTTATTGACCTGGAACACAAGCTTTACCGGCCAAGTTAACCCGATCTGACTGACCTACCTAAGAGAGAGAACGCAAGATTGACTCCTTCTATCACTTAAAGGCCGGAAGAAAAAAAATTTCCCACGGCCTTATTTACCAAGCTCGGGACTAGAGGGCTTCCCTTCCAGTCGCTTCCTCAAATTCTGGATCCCGCTCTCAGCTTCGTCGATCCTCTCAAGTTTCTTATCCTGTTGAAGGCTTATGAATCGTTTTCCCCAAAAGAAGGCCATAAAGTGCTCGCTTGAGGCGGCAAACAGAGATAGAATGATTTTTGAAGATGAATTATCGGCACATTGAACTGTACTATCGAAACTGTGCTCTGAAGGTAGGTTTATCTACAACATCTGGTGGTGTCATCGTGGGCACGTTCCTCTCTGGGGTGGTCTGGTCTAATCGAAGTTAACTGACTCACATGGAATACGGGATTCGTTTTCACCGAGCTGGTCGCTTGAGTCTCAGTCTAGCGACTCTACCGCCCAGCAAGCAACTGAACTCGCTAATCAGAGACTGAGACGGACACGAGCCGCGCTTCGAAAAGTATATTTTGATGCGTCTGTAATAGCCTATGTGTCCCGAAAAAGAACGGACTAGCCATTTTTCGGACTGGTCATTCAAAAATAATCGGCGATTGCCAAGTCATTGAAAAATAGCTACTATTTTGCTGCAACAGAGACCGGTTCAGCATAATATACTGGAGTTCGGTGCACCTGTGTATGAACTTCCAGCATATTATGATGGACCGGTATACTTTGTTGGCTCCAATATAATATACTGGAGTTCTAGTATACTTTGCTGGAACTCTAGTATATTATACTCCAGTATACTTTGCTGAAACTCCAGTATATTATTCTGGAGTATTTTCCGGATTTTGAACAGTGTTTTCGTTCAGATTTATCTTTACATGAAAAGTGGCTAAATTTCGATGACTTTTGAAATTTTGGCTATTTTTGAATGACCACTTGTAAATTTGGCTATTTTTGAATTTCTCCCTTTAATTACTTGGGTTGAAGCATTAATATCAGGGGAATTTTGCTAATTGATAAACTATATAACATTTTTAAAAAAAAACCATACTTCTTCGACCGATACACCCAACTCTGGTTGACACGTTGATTTTAAGTGTTTCAATAAGTATTGAAAAAATAAAACAAAATAAGATTAAGCAACATACAAAAAAATGTTAAGAGTAAAAAAANCCCCTCCCGCCCAATTAAAACTCATTCATTAGCATTTGAAGTCGTCATTCTAAACTCTAAATTTCGTAAGGTTGAAATTCTAGCTCCGCCTCTGTTTGCGCGCATCTTTTCTATTTTATCGTATACCTACTTTTTCTCACTAGTGAACTTCGAAAAATAAAGAGCATGTTTGGCCAAGCTTCTAGGAGGGTACTTTTTTAGTCAAAAAAAAATACGTTTTTGGAAATTTAAAGTGTTTGGCCAAGGTAGAAAAGTGCTTTTGAGCACCACCAGAAGTAATTTTTTTGTTTTTAGGAAGAAGCTACAAATTCTAACTTCTTCCAAGATGCAGATTTCAAGACAAAAGTGTTCTTACAAAAAATTTATATTTTCCAAATTATTCATCATTAATTTAACTATTTCTTTTTATTTTTTGTTTCTACCATCCATTTCTTTATTTTTCTTATTTTTCATTGTTTTCTATTCTACTCTTATTCTTCTTTGAAATAGTCTCCCTTCTATAAATAGATCTCTTTTTTTGTATAGGATTTATGGTGTAAATTTTTAATTTATATTGAACGATGTAATTTTGATATGTCTAAATTATCATGTAAATAATAAGTAATACCATACACCCAATATTATTTCTTTGAATAATTATATTTTATATTGATTAAAAATTTTAATATATATATTACTTTATATTTTATAAATTCAATTCTCTTTTATAAATAATACTATTTGTAAATTAAAAACTTATTGTTCTTTTTCGTAATTTGTTACTCAAAAGTATTATTTGAAAAGATTGGCCAAACACAATTTGCTTATCAAATATTGTAAAAAACGCTTTTAAAATGAATTGGCCAAAGACAAACTACTATTTTTCAAAAGTACTTTTTCAAAATATACTTTTGAACAAAAGTACTTCTCAAAATAAGCAGTTTTTAGTAGTTTGGCCAAACGGACTTAAAAAGAAATCTCTAGTACTTTTGTTAAATTTTTAATCTGGTTTTCCAATGATTACGCCTACTTTATTGACCACTAGATCATAACGCTCATTGTGACTTTTTTATATACTAGTTATAGAGTACGTGCTTTGCACATGTAGCCTAGCGATTATTATAAAATTTCAATGTAATAATCTTTAAATATAATGCATAAATTAAAATTACTTATTTACCTTATAAAAAAATCAAAGCTTATGGAAGATGCAATTTTTAATTCAGGATAATTGTTATTATAATTAATATTGTAAAAGGCCTTTTGTTCCACCTTTGTTGAACTTCCTTGGAGAAGGAACGGAAGCTACCCTGCCAAAATTCAAAGGATATTTTTTTTCATAAAAGAAAAATATTTAAAATCCAATTCGCTTGTACTCATAATGAAGACTCCTAAACCTAATAGAGTTCTAGGTGCACAATATTTAGTTTCCTACTTTGATTTATCTAATTTAGGTGTC